CGGGGAAAGGGTTGGGTGATTAGGCACATGTTTATGGTGATGGATTGTAATTAGTCTTTGGGTGGTGAACAAGATGTAATCTACACAGAAACTGAGATACAACGAAGCACACCCAAAATTTATATAATGTTACAAACCAATGTTGGTGCAATAAAAACATTACTTGCCAAAAGTTACTTTAAAAAAAAGGTGAATAGTACTGTAACTTTTTTCTTTTTCTTTTTTTTTGCTGAGGAGGATTAGCTCTGAGCTAACATCTGTACCAATCTTCTTCTATTTCATATGCGGGTCACCAGCTCAGCACCCAGGATCCAAACCCACGAACCCAGGTTGCCAAACCAGAGCACACTAAACTTAACCACTATGCCGTGGAGCCGACACCAGTCCTATAACATTAAATCAATAATTAAAAGCAAAGCAAAACAAAACAAAAACAAAACTTTGCTACAAATACTACTTCAGGCCTGTATATCTTCACCAGTACCCAACATTTAACGATAAAGAGGGGGGAAAAAAGCCTCTCCTACAAACTCTTCCAGAAAATACTCCCCAATTTGTTTATTAGATCAGTATAACCTCTATCCCCAAACTGAATAAGGAAACTGTAAGAAAGGAATACTCAGGCCAAGCTAAGTCATGAAAACAGAAGGCAAAAATCTGGGACAAAATTTTACAGTGTATTCTACAAGCAATGAAGTTACCAAATACTATCAGGGCCTGTGAAAAGGACTTAGGAACAAATTGAAAGGGCTCCTGCTGGCCAAACATGGGACAATTTGATCGCCACACAAAACAATAACTGTAATGGACTGAAACACTGGGATTGGGGGAGGCTAATTAAATGTCTCAGATGAAGAGCATACATGTAACTTGAAGACAAGCAACTAAACATGAAACATAAAAACACTTAGGTAAAAGTGAAAAGGATTAGGATCAGAAATATCAAGTGAGACAAGTAAAATGAACAGAAAAGTGCAGCAAAACCAAATTTGGTAAATACATTCATTTATTGCTTAACCACAGGGACATGTTCTGTAAAATGCATTACGCAATTTCGTTGTTGTGCAAACATCATAGAGAGTACTTACACAAACCTAGATGGTATAGCCTACTATATATCTAGACCACATAGTACTACTTTTATGGGACCACGGTCCGTTGTTGATCAAAACATCGTTATGTGGTGCATGACTGTATATGATAGAATAACCAGTCAGTTGTCATGTTTGAAATAAACATTGAAAAGAACACTGGAAAATAAAATTATATCCATTTGAAAAGAAATGCGTATTTAAAAATCAGAAACATATCAAAATGTTCCTTCTGGCAGTTCTCCCCATCCCTCTTTAGTTTAAACGACATATCCTCAGAGAAGCTTTCACTCATCATCCTCCTGATAATCTCTCCTAGAGTAGCAATCTTTACTTCTCTTTTCTGTCTCCTGTCTCACTTATGATTACGCTGTCAACATCTCTCTTCCCCCACAGATTGTGAATTCAATGACACAGCAATGTGTCTTGTTCACAGTAGCATTCTCAGTGCCCATCACACTTGGCACTTAGTAGCTGATAAATGTTTGTTGAATGAAGGGATAAACAGAAGTATTAAAGAATATTTCCAAATTTTCTGATTCAGAATAAAGAAAATTATTGGCTTGCTCTATAGTAAATTTCCTCTGACTACTAAGAAAAGCAAATGGAAAAAGACATGGCACTAGTAAGGTTCTCACACTTGCCAATCTACCAAATTTGTCTTTGGGAGCAAATCAAGTACTATTCTAGTGCTGGCCATAGTTAAAAAGTCCCTCACGAATCCTTTACCATCTTTGGTATTATATGGCAGCTATTTACAGAGCCATAAAGTGATGGCCCAAAGCTTAGCTCAGGAAGTGAATAGTGGCATACGCCATTTCCTTTAGATAGTTAAGTACGGTTAATCCTAAATTCTGGATACTAACAACTCAGTGGAAAGTTGATAGCAGAAACTGGAAAGACCCATCCTCTCTGTACCTTGGCTTAGATGATATCCATCTCTAAGCCCCTCACTCTCATGACTGGCTCTAGGGGTCAAGTTGTGGGATTCACTATTGTTATTTAGCTCCTTTTATGCTTTCTAAGATCCACTCATATGCTCAGCATTTACTGATCACTTACTATGTCACAGGAACTGTTCTAGGCACTTTCAATGACAGAAAAAAACCAAGGTACCTACCCATATAGAACTTACGCTGTAGGAGAGAAACAGACAAAAACCAAACATGAAGAAAAAAACAAATGATATATTAGAAGGAATGGAAAATAAAAATGAAGGAGGAGGATGATAAGAATGCAGGGGCTGCTGACAAGAGAAAAGATGGGTGCAATTTTAAATAGGATGGTCAGAGTTGTCTTCATTGAAGCGACATGTAAGTAAAGAGTGAGAGGGTTAGCTATATAGATTTATGGGGAGAAGTATTTCAGGTAAAGAGAACTGGGGCAAAGATCCAAAGGTAACAGCATGCCTTTCCTGTCCTAACAGCAGCAGGGAGGCAGTAAGACTAGAGTGGAGGAAACAACTGAGAGAGCAGATGTGTTCCCAGACATAAGGGAAGGTCAGATCTTACAGGGCCTTATATGTCATTGGAGGGAATTCAGCTCTTACTCTGAGTAAGACAGGGTTTTGGACAGAAGAGTGACATGATCTGATATGCTTCAAAAGGATCACTGTGGTAGCTACCTTCAGAATTGAATACAAAGGGGTAAGGGTGAAAGCTGAAAGATCAGTTAGTAGTAATTCAGTCAAGGGATGATGGTGGCTTGGATCAGTAGAGCAGCAGTGAAAGTGGTGAGAATTGGTCAGATTCTGAGCCAGCCCTGATGGCCTAGTGGTTAAAGTTCGGTGTGCTCTGCTTCAGCAGCCTGGGTTTGGTTCTGGGCACAGAACCACACTACTTGTCTGTCAGTAGCCATGATGTGGCAGCACTCACACAGAAGAACTAGAAGGACACACAACTAGAATATACAACTATGTACTGGGGCTTTGTGGTGGGGATGAGGTCGGGGGAGAATTGATTAGATTCTGTGTAATTTTTGAAGGTAGAACAAAAAAGACAGAAGGAGTGACCAGTAAGGCAGGAAGAAAACTAAAAAAGTGTGGGGTCCCTGGAAGCCAATTAAAGTGAGTCAAAGAACAGGAAGAGATGAATTGTATAGAATACTTCTGATACAGTAAGACTGTTGAGAGCAAAACCACAGAAGTGGAAGCCAAGATGGGGATACAGTATTAATAGTAAAATGTCAATCTTCCCACCCTAATCCTTTCTATTTGTATATCATACTCGCAAATTTTAAGCAGACCGGGTGAAATTGCCCTGAAAGTTGTTGATCTGACGGCTGGACTGGTGAATCTAAGCCCATTTTATCTCTTCTGTGCCAAATAATTTGCTAAATGCAGGGGACATAAACATGAATAACACAGTGGGCCCAACATATCTGCGGTTCCACATCTGCGGATTCAACCAACTGCAGAGACGGAGGGCTGACTAAGGAACTTGAGCATCCGCAGATTTTGGGGTCCTCGAACCAATCCCTCGAGAATACTAGGGGATGCCTATACATAGTCCCTGCCTTCAAAATAATCCAATGATGCTCTAAGAAATGTATAAACTTGGACTGCCCACCTTTTCTGAAGCAGCAGCCCACAATATTTTTAAGGAAAAAAAGGAGTGGTAATTTTTTAACATAATATTCACAAAGAACTGCAAGTCATAAATTCTTACGTTTCCTTTAAAGCTTAAAAAAAAAAAAGACTTTCTTTCTGATTCGAAAAGTACTTGCTGTTGAAAAAGCCTGTGTATGTGTGTCTGTGTCTACCTATGTATCTAAGAAAAATAAACCCATAAATGAAATGCCCTGAAATTATATTTCCAGATGTTAACTACTTCTAACAGTTTGGTATGTATTTTTCTTGTTTTTTTTTTTCTATGCATTTATCAACACTTGAAGGCATATTTGCTCTAACGCATAATTTAAGTGTAATTTTCAATGTTTACTGACAACTCTTCCATATACTTTCCTGCACTTTTTCCCTGTGTAATTATTTTATTATTGGTTCAATATCTGTATGTATTGGAACTGAAAAAAAATAGATTCATCTTGAATGGTCCCATGGCCAAATGGTTAAGTTTGCACGCTCCTCTTTGGCGACCCAGGGTTTCACTGGTTCAGATCCTAGGTGCAGACATGGCAGTGCTTATCAGGCCATGCTGAGGCAGTGTCCCACATGCCACAGCTAGAAGGACCCACAACTAAAATATACAACTATGCACTGGGGGGATTTGGGGAGAAAAAGCAGGGAAAAAAAAAAGAAAAAGGAGATTGGCAACAGTTGTTAGCTCAGGTGCCAATCTTTAAAAAAAAAAAAAGATTCATCTTAATCAGTTTGGTCAATTTGAGTTGTAAGAAAAAAGTATCTTCTGCTTAAAATAAAATTATATAAGCACTAACTTCTCAAATGCAAAATAAAAAAACATGCATATGTAAAACCAGAACACAATAATCAAAATATTTTTATGTTAACTGTGGTTATCTCCAGGAGTGATCAGATCTATTTTTATTCTTCTCTGCGATGTTCTATATTTTTCAAATTAAAAAAAAAAAGAAACTGTATAACATTTGCAGTACACTTAAGTAAATAACTATATATCTCTTTTTCTTTTTTTGAGGAAGATTAGCCCTAGCTAACTGCCGCCAATCCTCCTCTTTTTTGCTGAGGAAGACTGTCCCTGAGCTAACATCCGTGCCCATCTTCCTCTGCTTTATATGTGGGATGCCTACCACAGCATGGCTTGCCAAGTGGTGCCATGTCTGCACGTGGGATCCGAACTGGCGAACCCAAGGCCACCGAAGCAGAATGTGCGCACTTAACCACTGCGCCACCGTGCCAGTCCTAACTACATATCATTTTATACTTAGTTTTTATTAATTTTTACATTTAATTTATGTTAACAAAAATAAACTCACTTGGGCATGAACGCTCCATTCGCTAAGGATGGTTCATCGTCATCCAGCCCATCAAAGAGATGTGACTTGGCTGTACCTGTTGTTTGTAAAGCCTTTGGTCGGACTCTGGTGGCAGGGCGAGGTGTCAGTTTATAATGAGTGGGTGTAGTGAGAGCTTTCTGGGCTGCTGGATTTGTCGGTTTCAATCTCTGAAAAACAAAAGGATAAGGAAAATTCTAGTTTAACTCAATTGTATGGTTTTCACCTTAAAAATCAGAAGACGAGAGTTCAAACCTTATCTCTGCCATTCACCTGCTAGATACCTCTTAAAGTCTCAGCTCCCAGAAAACAAGGATGTCAACATCCAAGTTTGCATGTATGTGTGAATGCTAATAGAACTGTCTATTTCTCTATAATTGAGTTTTAATAATCTTGCCAGCCTCCATTTCAACTGGTTCATCTGATTTGTTTTAAAATATAATTGGCGTACTGCATTTGAAGTGCTTTGTGAATCAAAATGTTACTAACAGAACATATTATTAATATAATATAGTCTACAGCAGTTTTGCTTTCTAAAACAAGGACGATGTAAACATTTAAAAAGACCCTATAGTATCAAAAAGTTCTAAAACAAATTATTTTTTAATTAAACCCCAAATATTATGCTTCAAGAAATACCTAGCAAAGCCATAAATTAATATTCAACTTCTATGCAATTCAAACCACTCTGAAAAAATGAATACATATTAGCTTGTATTTATCCGTCATTTAGTAAACAGTAAGAACTACCATGAGTCAAATACTAAGTACTGGGAATAAAATAAATTACTTGCCCTGATTTTTGAGGAAATCACAAGTTAGTGGAGGAGACACACAACTAAATTAATTAAGACTTCAGGTTGATTTGATGGCACCTTTTCACTGTTTCCAAAGCACCTTCAGGATGTTACATTTGTTTTCCTAAACAGTATACATTGGATTATATACTTATTTGGAACAATATCTAATGTATAAAACCTGTCATAATTTATTCTTCTCTTCACAATGCAGACTGTATACTTCAGTAACAATCAACCTTCCCAGATCTTTTTTGTGATCTTCCACAACTCTGTGCCTTTGCTTGGAATCTCTTGACCCAGATCCACCAACTCCTACATACATACTCAAAAAGAGTTAAATGTTACCTCTTCTGAAAAGCCTTATAAAACTCACCCAAGAATCTATGCTCTCCCCTGTATTATATATGTTTTATTAAGATAAAATTCACATAACATAAAATAAATCCAGTTTTTTGTTCCCCCTGAGGAAGATTTGCCCTGAGCTAACATCCATGCCAATCTTCCTCTATGTTTTAGTATGTGGGCCGCCAGCACAGCATGGCCACTAACACAGCAGTGTAGGTCTATGGCTGGGAAGTGAACCTGGCCCACTGAAGCAGAGTGTGCTTGACTTAACCACCAGGCTACCAGGGCTGTCCTTAAAATTCACCATTTTAATGCATACAATTCCATGGGTGTTAGTATATTTACAAGGTTGTGCAACAATCACCACTATCTAATTCCAGAACATTTCCTTCACTCCAAAAAGAAAGTCTGTGCCTCCCAATTCCTCCCCTTATCCCTTGGCAAACATGAATCTATTTTGTCTCTATGGATCGGCCTATTTCAGACATTTTATATAAAGAGAATCACATGTTTAGTGTCTGGTTTCCTTTACCTGGTCTTCCTCACTAGATAGGAGGCTCTTAGAGAATAAGTTCTTACTTATTTTCATTTTGTATCCTCAGTGCTGAACACAGTGACTAGTAGGCACATATTTAGGCACCTAAAATTATGGTGCAAGAATAACACACAATTTTCACCAAATACATCTTACATTTACACAGCACTTTGAAAAGAACCTTAAATTCATACTTTGCTTCTCATTATATCTAGTTACAGGGTTAATAGAAGAAATCAGCTGAAGGATAAATGAGATGACATAAATGAGTGAATAATAATTTCTGTATACTGAGCAACTTACTGTAGGCATTCTCTCATTTAATTCTCAACACTGAACAGTATTACTATTCCCATTTTAAGATGAGGAAACACTTTCAGAGAGGCAAAAAGACATGCTCAACGTCCCACAGACTGTAAGTGGCAAAAGGAGTGTTAAACAGACCAAACGCTACTTTTAATACCACACCACAGTGAATAAAAGATTATTTCTTAGCTACTAGAGCATAAAAGATTAAGACAAAGTTACACAGAAATCAGGAGAAAACATTCTGATTTGTTACTTAAGAGCATTATGAGTTTAGGAAAATCAGTTTCTCTGAGCCTTAGTTTGGTCAAGTATAAAATGAGAATAATATCTGCCTTATGTCTGGGCTGCTGAAAAGCTCAGCCTTCAGTTCCAGTCCAGTGCTCATTTTACTGTTTGTCATGCTGCCTTCCAGACACAGTAAAAATAATTTATCCCTGGTCTATTGAAAAGCATGAATAATGTGTCTTAAAAATCTATTGCAAAGAGAAAAAAAAAAAAAAAAAGGGGCCGGCCCCGTGGCCAAGTGGTTAAGTTCGCGTACTCCACTGCAGGCGGCCCAGTGTTTCGTTGGTTTGAGTCCTGGGCGTGGACATGGCACTGCTCATCAAACCACACTGAGGCAGCGTCCCACATGCCACAACTAGAAGGACCCACAACTAAAATATACAACTATGTACCCAGGGGCTTTGGGGAGAAAAAGGAAAAAGAAAACCCAAAACCTATTGTACCTAACTTTGCTTAGGCTACATACATAAGAAATTACATTCTGCACATTTAGTTTCTCCTGTTCCGAGAACAAATTTTACAGAAGCATCCTTAAACTTACTTCTTCTTTCTTCTTAGGGTCTGACATGGGATTCCGGAAGAGAGGAGAGTCTCCAAAAGGTGAGTACGTTAGACTATTGATGTGCTGTTGGAGAACAGCCTGCTGGGCAGCAGAAGCATTTGGATCTGTCAAAGCTTTTTTAAAAAAAAGAAAAGAAAAAGCAAGATGTCAGTCCAAGGATCCAGGGCATTTATAGAAAAAGATTGCAAGACTCTTTTTGAACATGTGGTCTTCAAAATGTTCAGATTCACTCAAAAGCATTACTGGTGGGGAGCAGGGGAGCAAACTGAAGAAAATCAACAACCAAATAAACAGGTGAAAGATAGAAAAAGCATTCCAAAAGAGACAACATATATAAAATTTTACTTAAGTGCTCACTGACACTAATAACCAAAAAATTTGAATTAAAGTAACCTTGAAGAAATATTTGATAGCTACCTCATTATCAATGGTACAGTTGTATAAAAAGAGTTACAGTGTTTGACTTCTAGAAATATTACAATTGTATTTATTTTTTTTTGCTGAGGAAGATTAGCCCTGAACTAACATCTGTGCCTATCTTCCTCTATTTTATATGTGGGTCACTGCCACAGCATGGCTGATGAGTGCTGTATGTCTGTGCCCGGGATCTGAACCCACGAACTTGGGCGGCTGACGGAGAGTGTGCCAAACTCAACCACTAGGCCACAGGGCTGGCCCCACAAATTGGTTTAATCTGTCTAAAAGAAACAATATGACAGTACATAGAGCAAGTACTGTTTTTCTATTTTTTAACCTAATAATTTCAATCATGGAAATCTAACCCGAAGACTTAATTAAACTAGAAACACAATAAAGAAATCTTTCTAAGTGTTCACTGACCATTATCTGTAATAGTCAAGATCTGGAAACAACCTATGTCCAACATTAAGTTAACAGTTGTAAAAATCATTATACATAAACATGGTGGGTTAAGTAGTTATTAAAAACAGTGACAATGTGTTTCATTGTAGAAATAAGAAAATATCTTTGATTTAATTTAATAAGTAAAAATTGAAGAATAAAAATATTAAGTATACTAAGAATATAAAGGAAGAAGGCAGCATATAAAAAATTAAAATGGCTGCTGAGGTGTCCTTTTATGTTTATTAATATTCATATTACATTTAAATAAAAACTGAAAGATCACCCCAATTAGTCTAATTTTCTTTTAAAGTCTAAGAACAAATGTGTTGTCAGTCACAGAGAATTTAGGAAAAAGATAAAGAATAACGATCTACAATTGTACATAGTAAAAAGAAAACAAAAAACCCCCCCAATTCTCTGCCCTGTACCTTGACTGACGACGAAACCTCTCTGCAAGATAAATTAAAATATTTCCAAAAACACCGATTAAAAAAATCAAATCATACAACTTATTTTAAAGACAAAACTTTTTGCCTCTATAAACATTTAAAATAAGGCTAAAGCCAAAATATAATAAGATAATCCACATTAAAGGAGTGCCTCAAACAAAACATTTTGAAAAAATTCAATACTCACAATAAGGGGGAAAAAAATACAATAGCAGCAGCAACAAAAAACAAACCCAGGACAGATAGCTAAAACTAAATTAATGAAAAAGGAGTAGATCCACATTAGTCAAATTACACTTTCTTAAAATCAGATGTATTCATTAACTACTAAAACACTGTATGTTGATATGTAAGGAGAGAGCGCAAATTTTCTCAGGATTGTGAAACCCAAAGGAGATGCCAATTTAAAGAGTATACAGTAAATCATCTGTATTCAGAAAGTTCCTAAGTCCAATTTAAGGCCACGAGCAACAAAAAAATATAGAAAAGTAGCTTTTGGTACACAGTGCCACATGATAACAGCATACTGTTATTCTGTGGACTATTCAAGGAGACTCAAGAAAACCTAGATGTTTTTAAAGAACTATTCACTAGTTAGTTTGTTACTTGACAGTCAATTATCCATTAAAAAAACACTGACCTGCACCAGCTGGATTCCATCATTTAACAAGTACAGGTCACCCAACCTGGACTTGCTCCAAAGAATAAAAACCTCCTTTAACAAATCCAGACATCATTAGGAAAATGTGAGAGGATGTTTTTATTTTTGTATGTTTACCTATGAAATCTTCTCAATGTTAATTCCATTACTTAAAACCACAGAAAAGAGAGCTGATATGTTAGCAAAAATAAGATAAGCAGACAAGCAAGTATAAGCACTAGTTAAGCTACCATTGGTATTATACTCCATTTTGGTCACAGTAATTTGAAAACATACTGAAAAATGACTTCATGACCAAATGATTAAAGGGATAGAAAGGAGTATAAAAATCAAGTCTTGGGGCTGGCCCCCTGGCCGACTGGTTAAGTTGGCGCGCTCCGCTTCGGCGGCCCAGGGTTTGGATCCTGTGTGTGGACATGGCACCGCTCATTAGGCCATGTTAAGGCAGCATCCCACGTGCCACAACTAGAAGGACCCACAACTAAAAAATATGTAACTATGTACTGGGGGGATTTGGGCAAAAAAAAGAAGACTGGCACCTGAGCTAACAACTGTTGCCAATCTTTAAAAGAAAAAAAAAAGGTCAAGTCTCAGAACAGAATAAACTGACAATACTTTATCTGGAAGATAGCAGGGTTACTGCAAAGAAATTATAACAGACTGGTTTTGCTTAGACTTCGGAGGTAAAAGTAGAACCATCGAGTGGCACTTCTACAGAGACAGGTTTTGGTTTGTAAACAACCAACAAAACAATGGACTGGACTGACCAGTAAGGAACCATCATAACTGAAGTTTTAATTTAAGACAAGTACAGGACTCCCACAATAAAGGTGGATTCACATAGCTCTACAGCACCTGTCCAACTAAGATCCTGTGATGCAAAGATATACATTCTAAAAGTCAGTACAACTACTTTTAAATGGGCAGCAACACTACTGTATACAAAGGTAATTTTAAATTCTTGTGTCTGGAACTTTTAGTTGGCTTTTGAAAAAGATGAATTATTAAAAAACATTCAAAAAGCTATTTAAGTAAAAATGGCAGGTTATATTTATGCTACCTCCTTCTATTGAAAAACAATTAAAACTAAGGAAAAGAAATAAAATGAAAATATCATTTTAAATAAGGCAGATTCTAATGTTCACACAAAGATCAATTAGAATTCTAATTCACCTCCGCTCCCTCCAAAGACCTATTTAAAATCTATAATTTAAACAAATTAAAATATGTCTATCTAACCCACAATGACAAAGAATGGGAAGGTAGCAAATGAACAGATGAGAAAATAAAACAAATTTCTAGGGGGAAGAAGTGGACAGAGGAATGATAAAGCAGGATAGAGCAAACCATAGCTTAGAATACACTACCCCAAACAGAGCAGATCTGCCTGGAGAACCCCAGAAAGGTCAGGGATTCAAGAATACCAGGTTTGATGCAGTGTGACTGAAAGCAGAAGGAGAGAAGAATCAATGCAAAGTTTATACAAAACAACGACACCCTGTCATCCTTCTAATCCCGGATGCTCAACAGATAAGCCAAAATATCAGAGCTGAACCTCTGAAGAAACCAAGTTAACATACGGAAAGAACAAGGGAAACTAGTTCAAGTGCTTGTATCATCCCGGAGATAAGAATGTGGCATTCTAACATTTAGAGGACCCCTGGATAATAGCTGGTTCCTGGACTACTTACCTTAAAGTGAAACCTACTGGTAAACGAGCTCTACCATGAACAAAAGTTTTCAGTCAGCTTCTTTTTATTCTTAAACATCAATGGAAAGGATCACTAAGCATTAAATAGTAGGATCAAAACAAAAATAATCCAGAAAATTTAAGGAACAGAAGAACCCTAAAAAAATGTTAATGCCATTTAACAAATTCAAAGTCTCAAGAAAAGAACTGCATCTAAGAACTGGGTGCTTGGGGGGCTGGCCCCGTGGCCAAGTGGTTAAGTTTGCACGCTCCACTTCGGCGACCCAGGGTTTCACTGGTTCGGATCTTGGGCGCGGACATGGCACCACTCATCAAGCCATGCTGAGGCCGCATCCCACATGCCACAACTAGAAGGACCCACAACTAAAAATACACAACTATATACCAGGAGGCTTTGGAGAGATAAAGGAAAAGAATAAAATCTTAAAAAAAGAACAGGGTGCTTGAAAAAAGCTTCAGAGAATGAGAAAGAATTCTTCTAACTTAACAAAAATCCAAATAGATGATTTAGAAGACAGTCAAAAATCTCCTAGAAAGTAGAAACAGCTGAAAAGTCACGTGTTAAGATAGAAAAGGTCTAAGCAAATCACTGAAATGTTAAGACAAATGGACAATCCTAAATGCTTGTGGGAGTAGGGGAACAAGTCTCAAGAATCAGAAAGGCATCAGTCCTCTCATCAGTAATGGTTAGTGCAAGGAGTACTGTCAAAGTTCTGAGGGCCAATTATTTTCACACCAGAATTCCATGACATTAAAGTGTGAGGAACAAATGAAGGTATTTTCAAATCTGTAAGTAGTCAAAGTTCACCTTTCATATATACTTTACTAGGAGATATATTCCAGAACACTCAGGAAATAAATAAAGAGGAAAACCCTAAATCCAGGACACAACAGTTTTCACTGAGTAGACTTGAAGGGAATATCCTAGAGCAATGCTCAAGGCCTAGGGAATAATCAGAGTTCATACTGCTGCAGGAGGACAGAGGGGCAAAAGAATGAGGTATCTGGGTAAACGAATTCTGATACCATCCTTAAGAATTTGGACTAGTTTAAGAAGGTGTTAAGAGTTGGTAATGCAAGGGAAAAAGAGAATTAGAAATTCGGGAAGAAAAAGCTATATGAGAAAGGTATACTTCGTTGGGCAGCAATGTTTTCATAGAATAAAATACTGTGTTCATTTGCGTCTTTTAAATTATTCTTTAACCAAAGAAAAGAAGACTAAATAATTATAGGATACAACATATCGTCAACTTTATCAGTTTAATATAAAGACAGCAACGAAATGAGGGAAAGAGAAGGGTAATTACGGAAGGGCACTGATATCCTTACTTGAGCAAGGGGACTCAAGAAATACTGTCTCCTAGTTAACAGACTAAGAAAAAGTATGTAAGGACAAAGCTTAAATTTGCAAAGGCTTCTCAAAGTGTGGTACATGGATCATGATAGCACAGGAGATGAATTTAACAGTACAGTAACTAACTTCTTTCTTTCTCTCTCAATATCTATCTAGCTGTCCATCTCAGTTACTCCATTTATGCCAGGCGATACCAGTTTTTTATTTCTGGTAGAACATATTTTTCTTTAAAAAAGATATTTAAATTAAAAAGTTAATTCTAATTTAGAAATAATAATAAAGGTGGCAGGTAAATATTGCAAAAACTAGGAAGGGGTATTCAAATGAATGAAGTATGAAAAACAGTTCAATAGGTGAAACTAAACTTAGGGAATTTAGTAAAGACAGCTATACTGGGAAAGGTGAATAAACATAGAGGTGATAAGTGAGCTAAATTCTCAACTACCACTAACAAGTTAAATTTACTTAGATTTAATAAAGCAAAACACAGCAATATAAGCACATCATTTAGGGACATGAACTTAATTGAATACCAGATGAATTAAAAGCCATAACAAAAGTGGCTTCTTTTAATCAGAAATCTCAAGAGTCCGTTGCACCCCTATGTTCATCGCAGCATTATTTACAATAGCCAAGACGTGGAACCAACCTACATGCCAAGAAACTGATGACTGGATAAAGAAGATGTGGTATATATACACAATGGAATACTACTCAGCCATAAAAAAAGACAAAATTGGCCCATTCATAGCAACGTGGATGGACCTCGAGGGTATTATGTTCAGCGAAATAAGCCAGTCAGAGAAAGACGAACTCTATATGACTCCACTCATAGGTGGAAGTTAGTATATTGATAATGAGATCTGATCGGTGGTTACCAGGGAAGGGGGGGGGGAGGGCATAAAGGGGGAAGTGGTGTACCCACAACATGACTAACAAAAACGTACAACTGAAATCTCACAAGGTTGTAATCTATCATAAAAAAAAAAAAAAAAAGTGGCTTCTTTTGGGGAGTAGGCCTGACAGTGGGGAAGCAGGGCAGGCCTGGATCTATTATAAGCCCTTCCGCACTACATGATTGTTTAATGACGTGTGTGTATGTACTGCTGTGGTAGGGGTGGGACAGGGTAGGGTAGGGTAGAAAATCAGGTCAGCAAGTATTAGCAAGAAATAAACTGAGTAAAGCCTTCTAAAGTGACTGACACTTACCTACTGGGGCCAGGGGGGCTCCAAAGCCCAAAGTGGCTGTCGTAGTATTAAATCCAGGGGCCCCAAAGGCTCCTGTACCAAGAGGCCCTCCGATCTTAGGCTGGTTGTTCCCAAACAAAGATGCCTGTCCAGCACCAAGAGCTATGGAGACAAGAGGAAAGAAAAAGCGCCACAGAAGATCCTTTGAATGTTATGCCAGAGGTCAGTTACTTAAAAATATAATACATTTGGAAACTTCATAATGACTATTCATTTCAATAAAAGAACTAATACATAAATGCACAGTAAGAGCTAACTATATGCCAGACACTGTGCTGAGTACATTATACACATCAAGGCAAAATACTTAACCTCTCTGTGCTTTAGTTTTCTCAACTATAACATGAGATAATAATACACAGCTTAATATTTATCCTAAGATTGAAATGAATAAACACACGTTAAGCATTAAGAAGAGTTCTGGTAGATACTAACACTTGCTAAATATTAGCTAGCACCATCTCATTTAATCTTCACAAGCCTGAAGGAGGAACTATTATCCCCATTTTACAGATGAGAAAAAGGAGGGTTTAGTAATTAGCTCAATGTCACAAATGTAGTAAATGGTGAAAGTGGGGTTCAATCCTCAGTGCCTCTGATAATACAAGCAGGGCTCTTAACCGTGAATGTATACTAAAACAGATTTTGAAAGAATTAAAAAATTGTGAATTCTCCTTAAATTTCAATATTTGCAAATCAAAATACTCAGCTGAATCAATTACAATGTCATCATTTTGACTAACAAATAGGCTGAACTACAGAAAACCAAATCTATCTTCTTTGAATAGCAAAAAGTGAAGACTTTCAAGTATACCATCTTGTGAAAACTACTTTAGACAAAGACAATTTTTTTTTTTAAATAAAAAGCTCAATGCCTTGTGATGAGGTTACTAAACAGATTCTAGTTTCAGCATGAATCAGCCTGGATGGAATAAGAACTTACTTTCAACAGGGGGAAATCCATTGTAGAAACTTGTAAAGTTCTAAAGCCTAATGAATCTTGCTTATGGACGCTGTTGTCAGCAGTGATTTTTAAAGTGTAAAATGGGGGAGAATTTAGTTATTTACAATAAGTTTGTTATTTAGAATTATTGGAATAAATTTTTTTAAACATTTCCATTCTCTCTTCCTCCTCAAAAAGTTACTGGCAATTTGGAAGATCTCAAGTTCCTTTTAACGTATCAATGCATCTTGACAGAGATATGGTTTATCAGGAAAATCAATTCAAAAACATAAGACTCAGAGGCCAAAATGATGGATGGGCTGGCCCTGTGGCGTAGTGGTTAAGTTCAGCACCCTCTGCTTCGGCAGCTTGAGTTTGGAGCCCAGGCACGGACCTACACTACTCATCAGCCATGCTGTGGTGGTGACCCACATATAAAGCAGAAGAAGGCTGGTACAGTTGTTAGCTCAGGGTGAATCTTCCCCAGCAAGAATAAAATATCGAAGGGCCGTCCCAGTAGCGCAGCAGTTAAGTTCGCACATTCTGCTTCTCAGCAGCCTGGGGTTCAGTGGTTCGGATCCTGGGTGCGGACATGGCACTGCCTGGCATGCCAGGCTGTGGTAGGCGTCCCACATATAAAGTAGAGGAAGATGAGCACGGATGTTAGCTCAAGGCCAGGCTTCCTCAGCGAAAAAGAGGACGACTGGCAGTAGTTAGCTCAGGGCTAATCTTCTTCTTCAAAAAAAAAAGAACAAAATATCGAATGGGAACTGCTTTGAGATTGCAACCAAAAAAAGGATAGGAAATTTATACTCAAAGAATCCATACAATATAAATTAGTGAGGGTGCTTACCGAATGGACTTAATATTCCCTAACAGCCCAACCTTATTAGTAACAAGACAACCATGTAGCAATGGGATTATTTCACCTTAAAAAGTCTAGCTTTGGAACAGGGAATAAGATTTCTTTTAAAGTTCAAACCATCAGAAATTGGTGAAAATTACAAGAAAAACTAAAATTATATTACTCCCTCAAAGGATGTAGTTTACAGCACAAATTTCAAGATTCTCTCTTTTTCTTGGTAGCAAACACCTCCTTATCCCCAAACAAAATTTAGATGAAACTTGGGGCTGGCCTGGTGGCATAATGGTTAAGTTTGTGCCCCCCACTTTGGCAGCCTGGGGTCCGTGGGTTGGATCCCAGGCATGGACCTACACACCACTCATCAGGCCATGCTGTGGCGGTGTCCCACATACAAAATAGAGGACGACTGGCAGAGATGTTAGCTTAGCAACAGTCTCCTTCCAGCAAAAAGAGGAAGACTGGCAACAGATGCTAGCTCTGGGCCAATCTTTCTCACCAAAAAAACCCAAAACAAACTTAGATGAAACTTGAATATATTAAATGGATAAAAATTTCTGTTCTGAATGGGTTTGTATTTCCCTCACCTTTGGAGCAGCCCTGGATGAAGAACCGTGAAAGAGTCTAAAAACCACTGTACTGCAATAACCCGCAAAAGAATAAAAAAGGCACTGGGAGGTTCAGGTGACCTGGAAAGGGATTGTCATAAAATTTAGTGTTGTAAATTACATACTGTTGCAATTTGTCAATGGAAAAGATGTATTTTATCCAAATCTGTTTTATATTACGCAGAAATGGTTTTTTATGCTTAATGAAAGGACTTACTAATAGTTCACAAGTTGAAGGATATTCTGATGTATGATAATATTAATTTGTGAAATGTCCTATATTTATGATTACTTGTAAGAATCATAAGGAAGATATATGGGGGGGGTACCATGGCAATAGTGTCCCGTCCCTGGAAACTCCAAGGATGCTCAAGGAAAAAGTGAAAATGATTCTATTTCTTCTGAAATCTTCTAATAAATGTTAGAGTTTAATTTTATTTATGGTCTCTATTAGCTTTGGGTAGATTTTTCTATGTATGTCTCAGTGTAACAATAAACTTTACTAGATGCAAACTTTAACCACTGCACCACTGGGCCACCCCTAAAACTTCTTAATATTATCACTAAGTAACCACCAAGAAAATGGAGTACTACTGATAGTGCTAATGACAGTTAATGATATCACTGTGAAACAAGAAACTGATACACCCATGATTCAATGAGTGTTCCTTAGCACACTGGGGGAAAAAATCACATACCAAAGGAAAATATACAGTCATGAGTTGCTTAACAACAGGGATACGTTCTTAGAAATGCATCTTTAGGTGATTTTGTTGTTGTGTGAACATTATAGAGTACTTACACAAAGCTAGATGGTATAGCCTACTACACACCTAGACTATATGGCAGTAATCTTATAGAACCGCTGCTGTATATGCAGTCCATTGTTGACAGACCTTGTTATGCAGTGCATGACTCTAAAACATTTTATGCTAAGATTGGTTGCTTAAATCTAAGTGTACAAAAATCTTTTATATATTTACATTTAATATTTTTATAGTCAATTATTCATGAAGTACCCAAAGGCCTATGTTAGAGGAAAATTTACTTCTGTTGAGGTATGAGTTTGAATATCCATCACTCAAAACAAGAAGTTGCACAGGAATACCCACTTAGCTAATGTCCCCCCAAAACACAGCCCAAAGCTACAGTGCTATTCTGCTTGTGATACCATGAGACGCAGAGTTCATAAATGTGGGTGTTTATCTACAATAGTCTCTAGACACATTCCTCTCAAAGCCAGAAAGTCTGCTTTAGCAGATGTGATCATCAAAGAATTCCAACAGTGTGTGTTCAGTGATTCTCACAATTCTTGTTTCCCTACATGATCTACTGCTGCTAAAGTCAGGGGTGTAAAATCTTTATTCATTGTATTTGGTTTTTAGTTTATGTGGACAAGGCATGAATGAGGAATATATAACAGCACTAAAAACAAAATTCATTGTCTGTGAGGTAGAACTATTTAAGGAAAACTGAATATATTCAAATAAAGAGGCTGAAATATTACATTATTGTGGAATAGAAGACAACAGCATTAGAAAAAAGTTATAAAACATTTTATAATCTTGGACTGCAGGTGAAGGCACTACTAATCACAACCTGCAAGACGTGGAAGCCAAAGGGGAGAGGATGACAACTTTGACAACATAAAAATACAACTTGTACATGAAGATACCATAAACAAAATTAAATGATAAACATAAAGACTTGGTGGAAATATCTGTAACAAACCTTAGAGTAGTATCTTACCTAGGCCTTAGGTTCATGGTTCAAAAACTGTCTAGAGTCAAAACCACCCTTGAAAAAGCCCTTAATTTGCCCACATCAAAGCTAATTTTTCCTCAAGGATTAGAAGAGAACACTGATGTCAGATGATGTATTCTCCTTAAGTTTAGGGATCATACTGTTAAAAAAAAAAACCTAAAGCTTTTTAGTTTTTATTTCCTGTAAAATACATATGGTAGAATTTGGATAAGTTAAAAAGCTCAAATGAAATCCACCATAGAGAGTTAGTATCCACAAGATATAAACCATTCTCAAAGATAAATTAAGAAACAAGGATTGAATAGTAAACATAGAGAACCAAAAGATTCAAACAGCCAGTAAACATACATAAGGATATCCTTCACCAGTAATCAGCGAAGGGCAAATCAGATTATACCAATCTCCACTATCAAGCATGCAAAGATGAAAAAGCCCAACAATATGTAAACGGTATGTGAAAATGAATACACTTTTATACAATATGAGCAAAAATGCAAACTGGTTTTCCTCTTGGAAAGAAAATTAGCAAGAATGTTCAAAGTTCAAAATATGTGTATCTTCTGACAATTTCAATTCTAAGAATCAATCCTGAATTAATACACACACAAAATGATGTAACAGAGGTCTTCATTACTGTAGTGCTAACATCAAATGTCCCTCAATAGGGGGAAAGTAAAATAAATTATGGTGTGCCAATGTATTTATGTGTTATGTTTATGTACGCACATATATACACAGTGTATGGAATACTAAACAATTCTCTTTAAAGAATGAGTTAGATCTATATATACTGACCAAAAGAAAAAATATATGCCCATATGTCATGGGAAATAAAAAAATGAAACACAGAAGGCTATGTAAGGCATTTTTCACTGCAGTGTACAATATGAAATACACACTGAGACCCATAGCACACATATATAAAACTAAAAAACTAAATAAAATTATACTTGACCTGGCTATACACAATGATTTTTTTTATTCTAGTTCATTTTTTTAAAATGCTGACTGCAGCCCACTACATTAATATTACATCCAACTAATGTATCTCAGCCTTTGGTTTAAAAGAAAATCCATGTAGGATACGGTTTCCATTTAAGAATATTAACAAAGGGGCTGGCCCCATGGCTGAGTGGTTAAGTTCACGCGCCCCACTTCGGTGGCCCAGGGTTTCGCCAGTTTGGATCCTGGGTGTGGACGTGGCACCGCTCATGAAGCCATAGCGAGGCGGCGTCCCACATGCCACAACTAGAGGGACCCACAACTAAAAATATACAACTATGTACCGGGGGGCTTTGGGGAGAAAAAGGAAAAACAAAAATCTGAACCAAAAAAAGAATGTAACAAAAAATCCTTATATAAAACACATATATGTACAAATGTATAAGTGTACGTGTGTGTATATAAACGTATATAAGCACATCTGAAAAATGTATGTAAAGGGATCTAACAAGATAAATGCCAAACTTTCAATAGCTGCTACTTCTACAGCTGAAAGATGTGGACTTTTCATGATATTTCCATATTGTCGAATTTTTTACAAGCACTTACATCTTTTATTTCAAAAAGAAAATGAAATAGTTCATAGAGTACAAAATGAGGTTCTATTAAAAAGAAGATGACAGATAAATGATCAGAGCATAGAAGCAAAGACAAAAGATAAGTGGACAGTGAAAGCAAAGACCATGGAAATAAATGGTTTACATTAAATGACCACACCCACAGTCAGATGAACTGGGAAAGCAGGCAAAACTATATGCTTAAACAACCTTGAACTGTACATGCTGAAGCACTTAAGCATTTTATGACCACCATGACCTTCCAATAGTTTACAACAGCTGGGCAGGTAGAAGGCTCAATGTCTTCAAAGGCACTAAGAAATAATTATCAACAGCAGGAACAGAAACAAAGGTTTGACATTTCAGCTCTATATCAAGGTGGAAAGAATCGAAAAGCAGGCATAGACCTTGCAAAACCTCAGAGTATTTGTTAATTATTTCAGCACATGCTCTTACTTCTGCCTTACTATTAGGGTAATAAAGCTTACTTGATAAACAGTTCAAGGTCTCAAATCCCTGTTACAAAGGTAACACAGGGGAACTGAAAGTTAATAATGTCATCATATTGACAAGTCTCACATTAAATACTGAAAGTCCCAGATAGACAGCACTATGAGAGGACAAACATTTTGTAGAAAGGGAGCATACAGCCTCTAGGAAAAATATGCCAACGTTTTAAAACCTGGCAAAGTGTAACTGAACATAAATCCATTTGTGAAAATAAAAATCTAGGCCTCTTATTTCCAGGCATATGATCAAACAGGGGTCTTAAGTTCCACCAATTAGAAAGCCAAGTTGTATCACTTCCATAATCTTGTTACAGTTCCTTACCTGTTCCAAATCCTGCACCAAGCCCAGTTCCCAGAGTCCCAGGTCCTGCTTTATTTCCAAAAATACTATTCCCACTGGTATTTGTGCCAAAACCTAAAAGGACAAAAGAATGAGTGGACTGTACTTTTAACACAACTCTCAATTTCCTGTACAAGGGAATTTAAAACAAAGTAGTCTGACCTAAATTTGGCATCCTTTCAGTTATTAATATTTATAAATCCTAAGTGATAGGCTAATTTAACTTTTATTAATTTAGTTTTGATGCCTGTAAACAGACCCCACAAGTCTCCCTATTTACATAATTACACTTCAGACTTGAAATACCAATTCAATATAGAATAATACCCAATATTAAAGCAAAGTGATTGTGCTTGAGCTTGGGGAAGATTCCCTTTGTGAGGCTCAAAGCCTCAACCTACGTTTCATGTTTAATTATTGAAAGAAAAACTCATTCCCTCAAACTCTCACTAAAAATAAGGCAATCAACAAATAAAGACACTTGACTGAACCTAAAAGGGTCTTGGTAAGAGAAAATTACCTATAAAAATCGCTACAGCAGCTTTTGTTTTGAACGATGGACCTGGTATGGATAGTAATGTGTGTGTGATCACACGTGAGGAGCTTTAAAGCTGTCATACTCAATCAGCTTATAGGACCACTCAAGGGCTCAGCTAAGTGATATTAAAAAGAGGAAGATAACCTATGAATAACTTTTCTTGACTTGAACGGTTTCCTTATCAGAGATGATGGAGAGTTGAACAAACCATCCTCCTCATGAGGACCCAACATTTAAGAGAAAAATCCTAGGATTCCCCTCTAAAATCCACAGGACTCCTCACAATGATACCTACATTGCATTACTGCTATTATTTCTCTTTTGTTCAGATATGTCCACAAAGTTTCTGCACTCCTTTAGGAGCTAAATATCAGCAAAACACCTAATGAACATATCATTAATCTCTTCTGATCAGATAAAAATATAAAGAATCACTGGCCAGCAAACTGTTTATAAAACACTTGAAGTCCTAACAAGGGATCATGGCAGGGAAGAAGTCCAAAAGATAACAGAGTAAAGACAGTATCTTGGAATATATGACAGTATCACCAACTAGGAATATTAAATGTTATAACGTCAGTATTTGGATTATTATCTCAATGAAAAAAATAAAGACAAAAGCTAAGAATTTAAACAGCTTGAAAACATACTGCTAATGTCATTTAAAAATCCAAGCAAGTAACGTGACACTCTCAATTCATTAATTCATGCATTCACTAAATCTTTTCTTTAATTGTGCTAAGTAAGAGCTATGCCACCAAAATGGAGTACTATTTACTCAAGCACAGTCAATTTTCTTTAAAGAAAAAAACAGAAATGTACTTGAAGATAGTCTTTGTGAGTTAAAATTTAACCACAAAGGATCTTCCAGCCCCATAAATGGCAGAAAACAAGATACTATGCGTGAACTACCTCAAACCCACAGGAGGGAAGTAAGTCCCAACTTACACTGTTTATACCACACATTTCCTCCGATTCTTACCAACAAAAGTTTATCAACTCTATGATTTCAAAACAATTTTTTAAATTAAAATTAAGGACAATTAATTGTCAATTAAATTACAACAAAGGAGCCAAGGATATATAATGAGGAAAGGACAGTCTCTTCAATAAATGGTGTTGGGAAAACTGGACAGCCACATGCAAATGAAACCGCTATCTTACACCATACACAAAAATTAACTCAAAATGAATTGAAGACTTGAACGTAAGACCTGAAACCATAAAACTCCTAGAAGAAAACATAGGCGTAAACTCCTTAACATTGGTCTTGACGATGATTTTTTTGATTTGACACCAAAAGCAAAGGCAGTAAAAGCAAAAATACACAAGCGGACTACGTCAATTAATAAGCTTCTGCATGGGGGCAGCCCTGTGGCTGAGTGGTTAAGTTCACAGGATCTGCTTCAGCAGACCAGGGTTTTGCCAGTTTGGATCCAGGACATGGACAGGGCACTGCTCATCAAGCCACGCTGAGGCAGTGTCCCACATAGCACAATCAGAAGGACCACAACTACAGTACAGAACTACATACTGGGGGGCTTTAGAGAGGAAAAAAAAAAAGATTGGCAACAGGTGTTAGCTCAGGTGCCAATCTTTAAAAAAAAAAGCTGCTTCACAGCAAAGGAAACTATCAACAAAACGAAAAGGCAACCTACTGAATGGAAGAAAATATCTGCAAATCATATATCTGATAAGGGGTTAATATCCAAAATATTTAAAGAACTCAGACAACTCAACAGCAAAAAAACAAACAATCCAATTAAAAAATGGGCAGAGGATCTGAACAGACATTTTTCCAAAGAAGACATACAGATAGCCAACAGATACTTGAAAAGATGCTCATCATTAATCAGGGAAATGCAAATCAAAACCACAATGAGATATCACCTCATACCTCTTGGCATGGCTATCATCAAAAAAACAAGAAATATTAAGTGTTGATGAGGATGTGGAGAAAAGGGATCCCCTGGGAATGTATGATGCAGCCACTGTGGAAAACAATATGGAAGTTCCTCAAAAAATTAAAAATAGAACTACCATATGATCCAGCAAATCCACTTCTGGGTATTTATCCAAAGAAAACAAAAACAATAACTCAAAAAAATACATGCATCCCCACATTCACTGTAGCATTATTTACAATAATCAAGATATGGAAACAACCTAAGTATCCATTGATGGATGAATGGATAAAGAAGATACAGTATATATAATCATCCCTTGGTATCCGTGGGGGATTGGTTTCAGGAGCCCAGGCAGATACCAAAATCCACGGACGTTCAAGTCCCTTACGTAAAACGCACAGTACAACAAATACAGTCAGTCCTGCATATCTGAGGGTTTTGCATCCATGGATATGGAAGGCAGACTGTATATACAATGGAATCCTATTCAGCCATAAAAAAGAATGAAATCTTGCCATTTGGTACAACACAGAAGGACTCTGAGGGCATTATGCTAAACGAAATAAGTCAGACAGAGAAAGACAAAGACTGTCATAACCTCATTTATACAATATGAGGAATCTTTAAAAATAAAAAAAAACAACTTACAGATACAGAGAATAGACCGGTGCTTGCCAGAGGTGGGGGGTGTGGGTGAAATGGGTGATGAGGATCAAAAGGTGCAAACTGTCAGTTATAAAATAAGTCCTGGGATGTAACGTACAGCACGGTGACTACAGGTAATAACACAGTATTACACTAAGAAAGTAAATCTTAAAAGTTATCATCACAAGAAAAAAATTGTAACTATATATGGTGACAGATATTAACCAGACTTATTGTGGTGACCATTTGCAATATATACAAATACTGAACCATTATGTTGTACACGTGAAACTAATATGTTATATGTCAATTAAATTTCAATTCCAAAAAATCAGCTTAAAAAAAAAGATGCTTATGCATACAAATAGCTCCTTAATTGTCCCCTTAACCCTGTAGCATGGAAGAACCACTGATTTATTGTCCAGTGCCATCTCATCAATATCCCAAGGATTTTCAGCTTCTCTAAACTCTTGCTCACAAGTGTTGGCATCTTGCCTGTAATTTCTCTGTCAAAACAATCCTACTCCATTCACTCAGAAATTCAGGCACTTTCATACAGTACTCACTTAATCATAACCTCATCCCTGTCAGGAATAATTATTTATTAAGAAAATGAGCTGGCAATGACTCTAAAGAATGACTTAAGGATCTGGCGACAATAATTGTAGCAGAAATCCTAAACGTGAACTGTGACTTAATCACCACCAGAACAAAAAACAATCCCATACTGAATAATGTGTAACTAACTTTATAATGATGCTCCAAATCTTTTGTGTAACCTTATTCTATTGCCAGATTTGTCATATGACTTATTTCCAAATCAGAAGATTATCCCTGTCCACAAAACCAAAGTCGACTGCTTCTCAAGAAAATAGGAACATCAAAGAAAGTCTTACTTAGATCTGGTTCCCTCAAGGGTAGTAAGAGAATGGTAAGTTCACCCAAGGGTAGAACAAAACTTGCCACCCTGCAACTCCCATATGACTTATAGGGAATCCTTCCTCTCAGGGCCCCAATTATTCATTCTTTAATTCATCTGACAAATATTTAGTGAGCACCGACTCTATGCCAGGCACTGGATCAGTATTAGGGATAAAAAAAAATTCAGGACAATTCAAATTCAGCATGTAAACTAGTAGGCACATCAGATAAAGATGAGAACTTTCATTTTCAAATCGTTGAACATGAGCATAAATACATTCATACAAGTCTCCAAACAACTCAAAAAGCTGCTACCTATGGAATAACATCAAATATATTTCAAAATCCAGCCTATTTTATCAAGGATAGCCTATACAAGCACTGTGTCAGATTTAATTCTGAACATGAAGTATGCTATTAAAAAAAAAAGCCACAAAAAAATGTACATTTTCAAAGGGAGTGAAAATTGGTTCTTGAGTGGTTAAAAAATCACAGATACACAATGGTTCATGGCCCTCCAAAAGTTAAGAGTACATAAAAAGATACATAGTATATTTGTGGTATCAAAATCTCACAAGGTGAGAAGATGATTAAGAAAAAAATGGTCTACAAAGGCTCCTTAGAGAAGGTAAGACTGATAAAAAAAAAAAAAGGTTGAAAAAACACATATCTAACCCGTATCTCTCCCATCTTAATTTTATAGATAAGAAATAAGTACACAAAACAGATACCTTACCCATGCTAACCAAGTCCAATACCTCAAAATCATTCTCTCACAGAGTATAACCAAAAAGAATCACAGGTGGAACGAGAATCATTATCAAGAGTGAGCAACACAACAAAAGGGGTTATAAAAATCAAATTGAATACATAAATTTAGGAATTGGTACCCGACAAGGACCTATCTACCTCCTTCATGTAGTTCACATTTCTGTGAAAACATAAAACCTTCCAATGGATGCTTAATGTAGTCTCTTTTTCCAGTACATTACAAGATCATTCAAAAACTCACTGAAAAACTGTGTTAACTGCTGACCTTATCGCAACTCCCACTACATATCCAGTGCCTAATGAAGTATCTGGTACATGACATTCTTAACAAATATCTAACCCACTATTTCCCTTGGTAATGAAATGAACTTTCCGTATCTAATTTAACACAAATAACGTCAAATTTGTTTGAAAACCTAATTAGTTATAGAGGACATTTAAAATAATATAATGTTTCTATTAAACGGGTTTAAATTTTCCCAGTGTATTTCTGAAGAGTAGTTTAGGGTTTGTTTTTTTAATTGTTGTTCAACATTATCTATATTTTCCCAATTTTTCACAACGAACATATATTCAAAAATAAAACTTCTGCAACTGCAAGAAAACTACTGAATAATCCCCTAAGTCAGAAAGGCTTCAACTTTCAATAAGAATCATCAAATGTCAAAAAAACTAAACCAAAAAACAACAAAAAAATTTTTTTAAAAAAGACATCAAGTCTTGCCTGTGCACTACACTACCTCCCTGATCAAAACCTGGCAAGAAAAATGTGTTATCTCAGCCAAATGTTTCATTTATGATTTCTCAACGATTGGTGACGTAATCCAAAGAAAATGACATTCCCCTATCTGTCTCCACTAGAGAGCCAACTCTCTAAAAGGTACTACTGCATGTGCTGAAGGGCCCATTGTATCCTAAGCAGAGAGGCAAAAGAATATGAATGAGAAAAGGCAATTTACATCTCTTTTAAGTATCTCAACCCATGATTTTAAACCTTTCCCTCTGGTACCTCACATCGAGCCAAAGCTTACCTGAGAATTTTTTAATATTCCCAATCATATGAATCAGGAGAATGATGTGTGGTATAGTCAGTGTAACTTTAAGAGAGCCAAACCTGCTTTTTATATGTACCAAAATTGGAAGTGTTTGTATTGGTTCCTAAAGTCAGGGTTGGTTTGTTACCAAAGAGCCCGCCACTGGTTGTACCAAATGAAGGAGCACTGGTTGTGCTGGTTCCAAATGTAGTAAGCTTGTTATTGCCAAACAGGGTCTAAAAAGAACAGAATACGGGAAAACTTTAAGTAGCACACAGATACACTCCAAACAGTAAAGAGAGGTTACCTCAAGTATACTAGATTGGGTTTGGGTTAAGGGAAAGAAGATATTATAATATTATAACTTTTAAAAAAAGGTAGGAGGATGAATAAAGACTATCAGAAAAATAAACTAATCTACTAATCTGAGTAAGAGTAACTTTATAAGTACAGAATGCTCCTAGTCTGAGAAGTTAGTGGAACCCCCAGCAAACACAAGATTTCGGCGAGGCAAAAACATAAATAAATAAATAAATAAATACGAGGCAATCAAATATTTTTTTACCTGGTAAATAAACGTATTGTGAATTTTATTTGGCAGTAGAATATTACAATAAAAAATTTAAATATGCTACAATATTGATGAACCTTCAAAACATTATGCTACGTGAAAGAAATCAGTAACAAATGGCCACGTATTATGTGGTTCCATTAACATGGAAGGTCCAGGGACCGGCCCCATGGCCGAATGGTTAAGTTCACGTGCTCTGCTTTGGAGGCCCAGGGTTTCGCCGGTTCGGATCCTGGGTGCAGACATGGCACTGCTCATCAAGCCACGCTGAGGCAGCATCCCACAAGCCACCACTAGAAGGGCCCACAACTAAAAATAAACAACTATGTACCAGGGGGCTTTGGGGAGAAAAAGGGGGAAAAAAAATGAAATGTCCAAAATAGGTAAATCTGTAGACAGAAAGCAGACTCGAGGTGATTGGGGGAAAATGAGAAGTGACTTCTAATGAGTATTAGCTTTCTTTTTAGGGTGATGATTATATTCTAAAATTGACTATGGTGATAGCTGCACACTCTGAATATACAGTCATGTGCCACATAACAACATGTCAGTCAACAAAAGACCGCACACATAACAGTGGTCTCATAAGATTAGTACCATATAGCCCAGGTGTGTAGTAGGCTATACCATCCAGATTTGTGTAAGTACACTCTACCATGTTCGCACAACAATGAAATCACCTCATGATACATTTCTCAGACTGTATCCCTGTTGTTAATCGACTGTATGTACTGTCTGCTCCTGTCTACTACTGCATGACTGTACTCAAAACCACTGGACTCAGTAAACTTTAAAAGACTGAATTGTATGGCATGTAGATAACATCTCAATAAAGTTGTTGGTACAAAATAAGGACTTTCTGAAGCATTAAATAATTTTCTCACTTTCTCACTTCCATTTGCTGCCCAAACAAAGTTAAGCAATAACAGACTCCAATCTCCATGAAAACAGAGCCATACGTTTTGGGGATTTTTCTTTTTTTTTTTTTTTAACTATCCAAAACAGCATGTTCAAAGTTTTTTTTATCAAGGGGACATAATACAGACTGACTGATTCATACTGATTCTCATATAGTTTACGTGGTAATTTTTTACTTAAATGACTTAACAAGGAAAACAATTCAGTTAAACCTCCAGCAGCATGAGAACTGTAAGAAGATCAACAGCTTGAGCAACTTGATCAACACAAAAAATACTTAATTCTCAAATATCATACCAACTTATCACCCAAAACAGACATTAGAACTAGGAGTTAAAAATGATCTGACTTTTGGGGCTGGCCCCATAGCCTACTGGTTAAGTTCTGCACACTCCACGCTGGTGGCCAAGAGTCAGTTCCTGGGTGTGGACCTACACCATTTATCCACAACCATGCTGCGGCAGTGACCCACATACAAAACAGAGGAAGACCAGCACAGATGTTAGCTCAGGATGAATCTTCCTCAGCACCCCCCACCAAAAAAAAGGAAAAGAAAAAAATCTGTTTTTAAGAGAGAAAGCATCTCAATTTAGATTCAACAATTTAAACTCACCGATTGAAGTGATATTTTGCTATCAGAAGTAAACTGCACACAAGCATTCAGGCAAAGAAATTTTAACAAGAACTTACTATTTGAAAATTAACCTATTAAAGTTACCTATTTCATTTTGTACCAAATAACTTTTAGTTACTATCAGTACCAAACAATATAATATATCCAATAAAAACACTTGCAAGACAAATTTCTTAGAAATTCCTTTACCAGATTTATACACATCTTCAAATTGTAGTCTACTGCAAAAACCTACCGAACCAACAGCACCAAATCCAGTATTGGTCTGCCCAAAGAGGCCTGTTCCTGTTCCAAATGCTGTCCCAGTGCTGGTGTTTGTAGCTGTCCCAAAAAGACCTCCAGGCTGCGAGGCTTGGGTTACTCCAAATAAACCCTGCAAAAAGTAATCCAGTTTAAAAGATATCCTACAATAGTCAGTTTTCTTTAATAGTGTTATACTAATAACAACAGTTGCCATTTTTTTTTAAGTTTCTGTGACAGATACTGTATACTAGATACTAGAGCATTTCTTTTCTTCATAGGGCCATTTTCCAAAAGAAAATACTGCTCAGAGCAGCTAAAAACTTGCCCACAGTGTCACAGCTCCTGAGTGGCAGGACCAGAAATTCACATCTACATCTGAGCCCGTCAAGCTTCAAAGTCCTGGGCAGCTAATAAGACTTTACACTAAATCTTGTGCTCTAACAGATATCAGGGTTGTAAGGACGTAAACATGATATGACAGGGTACTTCATTTTCAGAGAGCTATGCCAAAAGAACTAATCAATACTGAAGTGGCAAATGGAGTTTGAGTCAAATAACTGAAAATAATCAAATAAATCTGGACAGAGGCAGGAGTTAAACGTTAAAAAGTCTTCTTAATTTGAGATGAGAAACTACACTCATTTCAAATAGGTTTGTATCATCCAATGTTTAAGAAGATACTTTGTTTATGCATTAGTTAAAAGAACAGTATTCCACTAATGGACTATTGCTGAATTGAGAACTCAATGTAGTGTTCTAAACAGCTTTATTGAGACATAATTCACATGCCATAAAATTTACCCATTTAAAGTGGACTATTCAGTGGGGTTTTTTCTGGTATGTTCAGAGTTGTACAATCATCTCCACTTTCTAAATTTAGAACATTTCCATCACTCCAAAAAAGAAACCCCAGGCCCATTAGTAGTCACTCCCCATTCCTAGGCAACCAACCACTAATCTATTTTCTCTTTCCATAGATTTGTTCATTTGGAACGGAATCATACAAAATGTGGCCTTCATGAATGGCTTCTTTCACTTAGCATGTTTAAAAGCTCCATCCACACTGTAGCATGTATCAGTACTTCATCTCATTTTATGCCTACATGATATTCCACTGTATGGATATACCACATTGGTTTATCCATTCACCACTGACGGACATTTGGGTTGTTTCCACCTTTTGGCTACTAAGAAAATGCTGTTATGCTCATCTGTGTTTTCATTTCTCTTGAGGAAATAACAAGGTGTGCAACTGCTGGGTCATATGGTAACTCTATATTTAACATACGGAGGAACCCCAAATTGTTATCCATAGTGGTGGTACCAGTTTACATTTCTACCAGCAATGTGTGAGGGTATCAATTTCTCCAAATTCCTGAAAACACATTATTGTCTGTCTTTCTGTTTATAGTTTTCCTAGTGGATATGAAATGGTATCTCAGTGTGGTGTTTTGTTTTTATTTTAAAGAAAAACCATGTCTGGGCCCAGGATCCGAATTGGTAAAACCCTGGGCCGCAGAAGCAGAGCATGCAAACTTAACCACTCAGCCACAGGGCGGCCCTCGGTGTGGTTTTGATATGCATCTCCCTGATGACTACTAATGTTAAATGTCTTCTCATGTGCATATTAGCCTTTTGTATATCTTCTTTAGAGAAATGTCTATTTAAGTCCTTGACCCATTTTTTAATGGGTTATTGTTTCATTATTGAAGTATCAGAGTTCTTTATATATTCTGGATACAAGTCCTTTATAAGATATATGACTTGCAAATATTTTCTCCCATCTGCAGGTATTCTTTTTGCTTTCTTGATGGTATCCCTTTGACCCACAAGTGTTTAATATTGCTGAAGTATAATCTCGTTTTTTCTTGTGCTGCTTTTGATATCCTAAGAAACCTTTGCCTGACTCCTCTTCTAAGAGTTTCACAGTTTTAGCTCTTACATTTAAGTATCTGACCCATTTTGAGTTAACTTTTATAATTACCACAATGGTGTGAAGAAAGGGTCCAATCTTATTTTTTTGTGTGTGGAAAATCATTGTTCCAGCACCATTTGTTGAAAAGAGTATGCCTTCCCCAGTGAATTGCTGAGAGTCAACTGTCTGTAAATGTGAGGGTTGCTTTCTAGACTCTCAATTCTATTCCACTGATCTTTAGGCCTAGCCTTATGCCAGTACCACAATGTCTTGAATACTACTGCTTTGTAGTAAGTTTTACAATCAAGAAGTCTAAGTCCTTCAGCTTTCTTCTTTTTCAAGACTGTTTTGGCTATTCTGAGTTCCCTTCTATTCTTTGTTGTTTTTATCATGAAAGGATGTCAAATGCTTTTTCTGTATCTACTTAGGTGATCAAAGAATTCTTTTGTTCTTTATTCTATTTCTATGGTTTATTACACATTGCTTAATTTCCACACGTTGAACCAACCTTCCTGGGATAAATCTCACTTGGTCATGGTGTGTAATCTTTTTATATGTTGATGAATTTGGTTTAACAGCATTTTGAAGATTTTTGGGTCTATGTACTTTTTTTTAATTAGGCAAAGTATCTCTAAAGACCAGGTAAATTTCAAGAATTCTAATCACTAAATCCTACCTCGAATTATCCTTTAATTTTATACTTCTCTAAAAGAGTCCCTAGAAATAACCAGGTAATGACGGTTAAGGACTTCCTGTTTTACTTTCTGCAAAGAAACAGAAATTATCCAATATGTCTCTGAGTTTTAGTTCTCCGTTATTTATTTTAACAAACTAAACAAATTTATTTTAAGCCTGACTCTGCTTAAGGGACAAAAGCTGAAAGAACACTGCAAAATACAGCTATTAATTCATAAGTTTTTTTCTCCTATAGTCTATAGAATGGCTGGAGTCAACATCCTAAGGTGTAGCTTCAGGATGGCGAATTCTAGCACACTAAGCAACTCTTACTGCTAAGAAAATACGCTAAGGAAGGATAAATGATGTGCCCAGCAGGCTCTCAATGAGTACAGAGGAGAGTCTCGGCTGAAATCTAGGTCTTAATTATTCAAAGATTTTGCTCTCTTCTCTTTACTACATTACCGTCAACCCTTCAGAACTGCAAGAGAGGTAGAACTTGCTAATCTGACATTAGAAGCCTCATTACTTAGCTCTACAAATAAGCCCTGGAATTAACTAAGGGCCTGTTTCCTTACCATGGTGTTGGTGCTCGGCTGTCCTAGTGTGCTGGTATTGCCAAAGGAAAAGCCAGTGTTCTGGGTGGTTATGGCCTGGGCAAATGGTTTGCCGAAGAGGCTGGTAGTCTGCTGATTCTGTTGGCCAAAGAGACCACCGGGATTTGTTCCAAATCCAGTTGTACCTTTCAGGAAAAAGAAACAAAGGAAAGGAAAAAATCCCAACACTTCTCATTACCCAGTTACTGCAACAGTCTTATGTTATTGATTATATATCTAAATTACTCTACATTCATTCACTATTCAAACTATTCATTTTCCACCCTTCTTCACCTAACTCCAGACTGGTTCAGACTTTAATTCCTACAATAATACTCTGACCTCAAGAACCTTGGCTGGGCTAAGTAATCTTTCTTTATGAGCCCATAGCTTTCTTCTATTTTACAAGATACCACATTACACTCAAAGTGCATGTGTGTATCTTAATCCTGTTGGACTAAGTCTTGAGAAAAGAGGCTTTTTCTTTATAGCAATATATCCAACACAGAATGTGACACAATAGTACTTCAGAATGAATACATGGCTAAACCAAATCACTATATCAAGATTGAAAAGAATGTTAAATGCCACTTAAATATGTATTTATTTGTGTATTTGTGTCTGTATAAATCTCTGTAGAAGGCTATGAAAAAATCTAACTTTTGCTTGTTTCTATAGAGGCAAACTGGTGGCTGGGGGAGGGAAAGAAGAGACCTTTGGTTACAGTGTTTTTATTTCATGAACTTTATATCATATATATGTATTACCTTTGCAAAAGTGACATTTGTATAAAGTAATCTAGTAATCATCCTAGGCTTTCACATCCCACATCAAATCAACCCATCAGCAAATCCCAACAACTCAATATTCAAACTGGGTTCAGAAGTTGACATTTTTACCATCACCACAGGACTATCATCTCCCTCATGCAGACTGAGCAATATCTTTTCCAACTGATTTATTTCTCTTCTTGCCCCCTTACAATTTACTTTTAATATAGCAGCCTTCAGAATGATCCTTCATTCATAATCACATGACTTCTCTTTTTAAACCACCTAATGGCTTCCCAAGTCAAATAAAAATTCAAATTGGGACACTGGCCCATAAAGTCTTATAAAATATAGTCCCTATATCCCCCAGTACTTCTTGTTCTCTCCTCTTTGGCAAAAACTCAGAGTTTTTAGACTTATAGTTTCCTGTAGCTGGAATCTTCTTCCCCCAGAAATCTGTACAGCTTTATCCTTCATCTTGTTCAGAGAGGTCACTGCTCAAATGTCATCTTATCAGTGAAGCCCTTCTTAACCACCTTCATTTAAAACTGTCTTTCTCCTCACCTCCCACATACATACCAGGCACTCCCTATTCCTCCAGCATCCCTGAATTAGTTTTCTCCACAGCACTTATTACAATTAAATTTTACTCTTAGTTGTCAGTCCCTCAGCAATATGGCCCAATATGATGTCAAGTGCTTACTAGTTCCAAAGGCTGTTTTGTTCTGACCATAGGCAAAGCCTGAATTAGTGGTGGAGGAGCTGAAGAGTCCTGTTGCACTGGAGGTGGCTGGAGAAGACCCAAACAAGCCAGTCGTGGTACCTGCTCCCACCTGGCTCTGTGGGCCTTTCCGGTTAGCTTGATAATCCTCTAAACGAAGTTCCTGGAATAAGAGAAGATATATTTCCAATCTTAATATGCACCCAAAAATTATTTAGGAGACTAAATACTTGAATTTAGTATTCAAGTTCTATGTTCACATAGGAATCATGACTAAAAAAAAGAAAACTACGTAATGACATTAACATAATATCATTACAGAAAACCATTTTCAATAGTGTATGCTGGACATTAAAATCCATACCATATAATACTACAGGGCAAAGGACCAACCACATCTTCATTTTAATTTTCCTTTATAAAAAATAACTTCTTTTAGTACACTGCTATACAATAATCTTGGTCTACTGTCATCATAAATGTAAAAATTAGCTGATTAAAAGATGGGAGGATTCTGGGGAGTTCAGAAAATTTAGGCAGAAAGGATAAAGCTTAACACGTCAGGTTGTTTCTGCACACTACGATAAAGCAAGAACAGTTTGGGATGTTGAAGAAGTAATAGCTACAATCAAGGATGACAGTCAAAATAGACAATGAACTATCCACATAGCATTGAGCATGAACCAATTGTAACTCCATGCAGCAACATGGATAAATCTCACAATGTTGAAAGACAGACTTAGCATGTAACATTGGGCCAGCCCGGTGGTGCAGTGGTTAAGTTCGCACGTTCTGCTTCGATGGCCCAGGGTTCGCCAGTTTGGATCCCAGGTATGGACATGGCACTGCTTGGCAAGCCATGCTGTGGTAGGTGTCCCACATATAAAGCAGAGGAAGCGGCAGTCTTCCTCAGCAAAAAAAAAAAAAAAAAAAAAAAAAAAAAAAGTGGAGGATTGGCAGCAGATGTTTGCTCAGACTAATCTTCCTCAAAAAAAAAAAGTATATAATGTAAGATTCCATCTATATAAAGTTCAAAAATGGGCAAAACAGGGGCAGTCAGCATAGTGGTTACCTTTAGAAGAGGATTTTGACCAGAGGGGCAGGGCACAAGGGGAATATCAGGGATGCTGGTAATGCTCTGTTTTCATTTGGATCCTGGTTACATGGACGTGTTCACTTACTGAAAACTTACTATGTTGTACACTTATGACTCTGCATGAGTTCACTAAAAACACATGTGTGTGCACGTACACACACACATTGCCCAGAGTGGTGGGAGCAACATCCAATCAGAATAAACTATTAGCAGAACCATTTTAAAACTATTTCAAAAACAATCTGGTTAATGTTAATTTTTTATTACATAAACTCACTGTGACCTACTTGATCCCAAAAATAATCAAAAACATTTTTAAAAGCTGCTTTCCAATGGAATCAAAAGGTTAGGATGATATTCTGTGTGGTATTTTACTGACCTCTAGTGACTTGCTTTCATATTCTTTCATAGCAGTAATACACTGGTGCTTTGTACTGATATTAGTGCTAACTCCAGCTTTAACCATAGTATCTGTACCAGTTGGAGGCTGCAAAAAAAGACAAAGGCAAATCTGAGAGTCTAAAGCAAATGTTCAAGTCCAAGCTTTATGTCCCTACTCTCATAACACAATTCTTCAACCAATGAGCTCTATAACTAGTCCTATAGGTCTTTTACTAAACGAGATGGCTTGATTAAATACACTGCATTTCTCATCTCTCCCTACATCAAGGTTCTCTGAATAAGTCAATTTCAGTAATAGTTATCACAAACCCAGAGATTAATGCCATAACCAAGCCATCCAATTGTCTACTAAAACACACTTAATATTATATACATAAGGAAAGCTTTATCCGATTTACCCAATACATACATTTAAACCTCTATTTCTGAGTTCTCCCTCCTATTCTTCTCTAAAGTGTCTGCTTTATAACTGTTGTTGCATTTAAGTAATACGGAAGCCTGGTTTTTTTCCCTATAAACTTATGAGGCAAAAAGCATGCTAAGTAACTAAATATTCCTACATGTACTGTCAGTTTTCTCAATACTGTACTTTCCAAGAGACAATATACAGTATTTTTCATTATCATTTATATTTAACTTTAAATCCAGGATTCTAAATTCAGTATTATGAATTGACCACCTTTCTTAAGAAATTCTTCATTTTCTGGAGTAAGTTTTATTAAGTCTTGCCAAGCCCTATTTTTGCTAGAGATTCTCATTAGGCTAACTGCACCTCCAGCCTATCTTATCTCCCAACAAATCACATCCCTTGATACTTTACATCAAGTGGTATTTCATATATTTTCATAAAGAAAATCTTCCACTGTAACCCTCTACTCGATTCCTCTCAAAGCCAAAGAAAACACAAAACTCTACGGCCCCATATCACCATTTCATCAGCAAAAGTTTCATTTTTAACTGGCACAAAGAATATTGATGTTAGTCCATATATCTCCTTAAACAGGCCCTATTTTCAATTATTTTTCTATAGTTTGCCCCCTCATTCCTTCTTTATTTCTATAAAGAATGGCTGACTATTCATAGGTCAAATTATGAACACAGTAAATACAAGTTCAACCTTATATTAGCTACAGTAATCAACCTTAGCTTGAATACAAATTTGACTAGGTTGAGCATAATTCACAAATACATTATAATCTAGATTTACGTTTAATGATTTTTCCTGTCTACTATACAACTATTTACAGATTTTGTTCTTAATAAATCTTTCAAGAAAAGTGAGACTAAGCTGCGCATGATTGGAAAGAGGGGAAATTTTACAATTTATCCTGCAAAGAAAAATATAAATGGGAGAGAAACATATTGCACAAAGATTGGAAGAAAATACTTACATTAAACTTAATAGTAGTCCCAGTAGGAGCAGCTGTAAAACTACTTGGCCCAAAGAGGGAGCCTGATGTGCTACCAAAAGGATTGGAGGTGGTATTCGTAGTTCCAAACAGTCCCCCACTGCTAGTACTTGTTCCAAAATCTATAAATTAGAAAGAAAAGTGAGACGGTAACAATAAAAAATTTAAGAATCTGTAAAATATTTTGGAATTGGACTGTAGCACTAGAGCAGGATTAGTTTCACATCCTCAAATTTTCTCCTTCAAATCCCCCTTGCAAGTACCTTCAAACAGATATTTTATATAGACACACACATAATTCTCAGCTCACAACTTTGAAGTGAAATAGAAATCTGAATCCTTTAGTCAGCTGAAAAGTCCATAAAGTCTCTCTTGGGCACACTTGGAAGACAAGTTAAAAGAAACAGTACACTGTTTCATCATAAATTTTATCTCATTTCTCCTTTCTTGGTAAGACTTGATGCTGAATGAACTTGTCTTTCTGAAAACATCTTATCACAAGAGACTTCAACAGGAGTTATAATATATTTTACCTACATATATTATCACAAACATCCACACATAATCAAAAAGTTTAAAACATACAAATGGTCCTATTAGGGCAACCAAAGATAGGTTAATGTAAAATTTCACTCGGAAAAATAATCTAGAAAAATCAGCAGGCATGTGGCTCTTTTTACAGAAATACACAGATTCTCTGATTACTTTACTTTCCAAAAAGCTGAGTTTTAAAAAATTACGTAAAATTGAGTTTATCTAAAGAATATATTTTTCAAAATATGAGATACTACTTCTAAAGAAGTTATACATATGGTACCAGAAATGTCAGTAAGCAATAAAAAGTTATTTGCCCATATTTAATATTAAGTGACATCTTAATTACCAAGTTAAGATAAATGTGATTCCTCACTGGCAGTCAAACTGCTATTTCTTTGCAAAAAAACACGTCCTAATATATAGTTTAAAGTAAATTGGCACATCTCTTTTGAATTAGCACTTTAGATCACACTTTATATTGTTATGGTTAAATATTTCAACATCCCCACAAACAACTTTCCCTTTGTAAAATATTGTTAGCTGGCTAACTTACTCATTCTACAACACTTTTGTGCTGGGAAACAGCATCAACTCACAGAGAACACTTGTTCAATTAGTAGTGGTTGCCTTAAAGTACTGTGTGGAGAAGTATCCCCAGGCCACTTTTGGACTTAAAGAGAAAGAAGCTATCAATTAAAAACACCTGCCATGGACAAGGAATGGAGGAGTAACCATGTCACAGCCAGTAACTGTCATTCTTGCTTTAGTCTCTTCATACTATTTGTGAAACAGGCAAGAAGAAGGTGCCCCTGCAGTACAATACGGCTGACTACACACATTCCTCCTTGAAATTCTCCTAACTTAAGACCTATGACACTACTTTGACCTGGCTTTTCATCCTCTCTCTGGTCATTCTTTACCAGGTGCCTCTTCCTTTGCATATCCCTTAAATACTAGTGTTTCTCAGATTCCCATTCTTGGAGAGACCTGTTCAACTTTTCAATACATTTTCAAGTTTTTCTCTCTCCATGTTTTTGCCATCTGGTGGGAAAAGGAAGTGGGTGAACACAGGGAAAAGGAGAAGAGAGAACACACTCAATAAGGAAACTAAACTGTTAGATGCACAAGTCCAATGGTGTCCTACTTACTCCCAAAGCCAGTTGGTTTATTTTGTGCAAAGGCATTGTTTTGGGATGAGAAGAGACTGGTCCCTGTGCTTGCAGTTCCAAACAAGCTATTTGATGTTCCTGTTGATGTGCCAAACCCAAAGCCAGTGCTCGTGGAGGTAGCTGGCTGGCTAAATGAATTGGTACCAAATAATCCTCCTGGGGAGATGAAGAGGGGGAAAAACAATTAGACAGACTGTAGCCATTAAATGAAGTCCTATACCAGCTCCAAACAAACCAACTGTATTCCAAACAAAGCCCCTACCTGGTTTGGTCTGTGAATTTCCAAACAGGCCTCCAGTATTATTGCTAGAACCAAATGCAGATGTTCCAAATGCCCCTCCACTAGTAGTGCCGAAGCCAGTATCTGAAAAAGCAAAATCCAGGGTCAGAATAAAATCTAAATCAGGTAACCCAATGAAACGGAAGTTTAACATTTCTTAACATTCTGCATTTGAGTAGGACCACTGGTCTAATCTGAAAACTATTTTTCCAAAATTCCATCAGACTACTAATTATAGTTAAAATTAAGCTACAGACATTTTATTTATTGTCCCAGGTAAAGTAAGGAAACAAAGTGAAAAGGTGTGACTTTTCAATAAAAGTTATAGATGTTAATAGGTTTAAAAAAAAAAAAAAAGAGTGCCACAGTGGGGGCTGGCCTGGCGGCACAGCAGTTAAATTCGAGCACTCCTCTTTGGCAGCCCAGGGTTCACCTGTTCTAATCCCAGGCACGGACCTACAGACTGCTTTGTCAAGCCATGCTGTGGCAGGCGTCCCACATATAAGGTGGAAGAAGATGGGCACAGATGTTAGCTCAGGACCAATCTTCCTCAGCAAAGAGGAAGACTGGTGGTGGACGTTAGCTCAGCACTAATCTTCCTCAGAAAAAAAAAGAGTGCCAAGATAACTATGAGCTATAGACAAAAATTAAATTATTAAAATTCTCTCCAGATGCCATACATTCCATAGACCCTGGGATGAATAGTCCTTAATTAGGGGAGCACATCAGAATGATCTGGCAGGCTTTTTCAAAATACACGTTTCAAGTTCCTAGAGAGTCTATAGTTCTACGATGGGAACTCCATACTTGGGGTGGGGGGGAAGTCTCCAAAAGTGACTCTGATGGGCACTCTTGATTAAAAACCAAGGACCTAGATGTATAGAATACTTTAAGAGGTCAGGAGATACTTGAAAAAATTTCCTCTATTATTTTAATTAGTTATGCTTTTTTAAAATCCTCATCAGTTAGACAAAGTTTTTGGGATTTGTATTAAAATAGTCTGTTCAGATGCTCCTCTCCCCCTAAAGAGAGAGGGATGAAAACAAGACTAAGAACATGCTGATTGCTAAAGCTAGGAGATAAGTACATGAGAGTTCATTATACCATTCTTTATACTTCTGTGTAATAACGGTTTCTATATGTAACTAGTGTCACTCACGTACAATACTGGGTGGAAGGGGAAGTGCATCTCAGGAGGGCTGGTGGGGATTAGGAACTTTGACATTTTAACAGTTCCGTTTCTGAATGTCAAATGTTATTCACAGAGCAAATCTCACAGCAATTACTAAATAATTGCATTTCAGACTTCAATATTAAAAAAATCATTTCCTGGTCTGAAAATTAGCAGCAAATTATAACTTTCCACTAAAAGAACCAATTAATAAAAATATCTTAAGTACCTTCTACTGATGATCAGAAAACCATGGAAACTGCAAATTTACTTCTATTTTCATACGAAATTTTAACAAGATCCTATCCTGGTCATTTTTCAAAGAGATTTTGTCACAAAGACCAAAGTATGAACAAAATTCCTATCTAAAGCTACCAGAGTGGATTTGTTCTCAATAAGAATTGCTTCAGATTTCCCCCTCTGTTCTTTTTTAAAACTTACTCTGCCCAAATGTTGAAGTTGTGCCAAAGCCACCTGTGCCACCCCCAAAGGGTGTTCCAAATGACTTATTAAACATCTTCAAAATGAATCTTGGCTTCAGAAAGCTGGAAGGAAGAAAAAATTATCACTTTTTAAAGACCACAGAATGCCATGTAACTGTCTGAGAAAACGTATAATTCTACAAATTCAGTTAGGCCTACTTAATGTTCATTTCATTCAATATCCTAAAACTCTATATGATAAAATAGATCTTGTAAAATCGAGCTGAATTTATACCATAATGTAAGGTTAAACTTCAGATCCTACCAACAACCATTCCTGTAAAACAATGTTTTCTGACTTTTTAAAATCTAAGTCCCTTTTCAATAGATTTCAGGCCCACTATCCCAGATTTTGATATTGCCCATCTAGGAGGTTACGGACAATATCCATTAAAAAATTACAATGACATTCTGTTATTCCAACCTGAGAAGCTAAAATTTTTGTTAGGGTTTGTTTTCTGTAGTCTGCATTGTAAAAAGTTTTTCTCCCCTATTTTGTTGTATACAAAATGTTGTAATATTAAATGTTCTTCAAATTATGCATGCCCCTCCTCCCATCTCCAAATCCCAGAGATTCTCATGCCCTGACATTCTCTTTGAGATTACTTCCTGACTATTCTTTATGGTCTCCTACTTATCTACCATCTACTTCTTCTGGGAACACTACAGAAAATGCTGTAAAATCTCCCATCTCACATGAATGCCTCCCCTCCAGTATCCAAAGTATGTATCCAGTCACTTAACGAATTGGATCAGTGTTCCAACAACAAGTACAAAACAGAAGTTTGGTTTTATCCCCCTAGATTTGAATGAAAACAAATTAAAGGTATAGTTTACTCAAAAGTAAATGCTTTCCCCCTCCATATATTTTCCTTAAACTTAAGATATCGGCTACCACTTACCTCCCAGCAAACAAGAAAATAATGAGTAAGTACTTTTAATATAAAAACTCAGAAAATGGCCATGATGCTTACTTGAATTTCTAACAGGTATTGATGATTTTTCTATTATATACACATAACAGAGCAATTTTTTCTTCTGGTAAAATCATGCCTCGTTCATATAACAGAATTAAACACAAGATTTTGAAGTGCTTCCCACAATGTTCCAGTGTCCCATTAGCACTTCCAGGTATTCTAACACCCGAAAACAACTTGTAAGACACTGGAAAAGACTGCCCCTAAATACCTTATGCTTTTATAGAAATCAACACTCTGTCCCCGAAACTCTCAGAAAAAAAATTTTCAGTTCTTAGTTCTCTATTCCAACATCCAGGAATTTAATAATTCCTTCAATTAAACAAAGCTCACTGAAACCAGTAGTTTAAGAGGGCCAGATCAGAATTAGCCAGTAAGCTTTTCAAAATACAACCCCCAGACCCCATTCTAGAAATAAGGAACCAAAATGTCCAGGGTTGGGATGTAGATATTTGTAGTTTGAAAGGCTCAAGTTACTCTAATGCATTCCCTTGGAACTAGAGGCTATATTTCATTTAATCATCATCTCTTTCAGTAAAGAGATCTGCTTGAAGTTTCCTGCCTTCCCAATTTATCAGGTGTCACAATATGACAGATTGGGCCTTTACCGTATTAACAGGCGACTCTCTTTCCAGGGGAAATATTCTTGGAAGTACCTAGCAGAAGTCTAGACTTCTATAGGTCTATTTGCTTTTCAACAGTTCATTCAGAATTGCTAAGTGTGTTAGGGGTTAGATGTCTGGACCAACTCATTTTGACTGCCATCTCTCTCATACTGCTGTCTTGGGTCACAGGCCCTTCTAGATCCACTTTCTTCTATCTGTTGACTAAATATTTTGACCCATCATCAGTAAGGCAAAAGCTATGAGTTGTAATACACTTATCATGCTAAATTTGCCTCCCATTTTTTTAATTCACCCCCATGAACAGCAATCTGTTCATGTAAATCTGACCTCTTCTACAGAGCAGACATGTCAGGATTCAAAAGCTGAGTAATATAGTTTTTTCTGTGAAACTTGTCCTTCTGTAGAAGATTTTAGTGTTAATTTGGGTTTCAGTGGTACTAGGTTCTATAGACCAAATCCATAGCTTCTAACAATCAAAATTCGATTTTTGTTTTTGTTTTTGTTTTTTTTGGAGGAAGATTAGCCCTCAGCTAACTACTGCCAGTCCTCCTCTTTTTGCTGAGGAAGCCTGGCTCTGAGCTAACATCCGTGCCCATCTTCCTCTAGTTTATACGTGGGACGCCTACCACAGCATGGCTGCCAAGCAGTGCCATGTCCGCACCCAGGATCCGAACCAGCGAACCCCGGGCCGCCGAGAAGCGGAACGTGCGAACTTAACCGCTGCGCCACCGGGCCGGCCCCTCAAAATTCGATTTTTAATACTCTTATTCTAACATAGAAATCTAGCATCACACATACATTTCACAAACGGATTTTAGTAATAAAATATCCTGGGAAACATCTCACAGTTTATAAGCTCTTACATATTATCTCAACAACCCTAAAAGGATGGTATTAAGCATCAACACCTGTATTTTAGAGATGAGAAAATAGGATCAGGTGTTTTGCAAGTTTCCCAAGGTCAAGGAAGTGCTAAGTGGTAGAGTCCCAGTTTAACCTATCTTCTGGCTTCCCATGGACGTCCTCAATCTTACGACCACAGACACTAGGCAACGAGCAAAAATATGTGTAGTATTAAGGAAATCCATCTGTTCCAGACCCAAGAACAAGGGACAATGCAGGGACCAAATCCAATTTAGACTACTGGAAAAAAAGCTTCTCACTCAAGCTCAGCCTATCTTTTTGGTTCTGACAAGGATGAGCTTGGCTTAGTCTCAAGCCTGATCAAACTGCCATTCTAAGTGTTTTAAAAAAAATTATTACCATGGAAGCAAACCAAGATTTGGGAAACAGCTTCATGATTTTTATCATGATTGCTAGAATTCAAAGAATGGCTAATACATTTAACTCTTTGCTCTTCAAACAAATCATTCATTTTCCTGACTGTGCTATGAAATGTCACTGACTCAAAAGAAAAATGCCACCCCTCTACTTTTGCCCCTACCAATCAACCTACTAATTCAGTCTTTTCAAAACCTAGCTCAAAAGCCATCTCTTCCCTAAGTCCCTTTAGAAATTAATCAGTCATTCCTCTGGGCTTCCACAGCACATTATGATTTGTTTACATGTATCTATCTTGACTCTGACTCTCTATAGTGGATGCTGTGATAACACTAACAACACAGATCTCCCTTTAGGACTGAAGGATTTGTTGTCCCAGCTGCTGAAAAGTACTGCAAAAAGATAGCCCTCAGCTGTTGGTGCTCTTCAAAACTGCCTCCACTGGGAAGTGGTGCCTCACCGAAAGTCATATCCTCTTCCTAGGATAGCCCATATCCAAAAGCCAGGCCCCTTTGCTCCAACTTAGCATAACTCTAAAGGGTGATCCCAGCCTCATACTCTGGATGGATTGGCTGAGGCCTTCCTTAAGATAATATCACAACTCAATTTCTCCCTCAGCCCGTTCCTGCTTCCGTCTCTTCTCTCCAACAGGTGGTGATCCCGAGAGCCCTCTAATAAAACTCATGCAGAACTATCTCCAATTCAGAGTCTGCTTCCCAAAGAAGTAACCTCTAAATCCCCTCTCCTATTACACTCCTCAACACTCTCCTAATACGCAATGAACTTTCCAGGGTAGAGAAAGCATCATTTGTTTACTATCCTAAAACCTAACAAAGCGTCTCAAACTTAATGACAATCAACAATAATTTGTTTTTTAAACACAGACTAAATGATCAAGTTACTTGAGAAGTAACTTCTAACTTAAAAATAAAACTATGCTAGGGGCCAGCCCCATGGTCGAGTGGTTAAGTTCATGTGCTCTGCTTTAGTGGCCCAGGGTTTCGCCGGTTCGGATCCTTGGCAAGGACATGGCACAGCTCATCAAGCCATGCTGAGGCAGCATCCCACATAGCACAACCAGAGGGACCTACAACTAGAATATACAACTATGTACTGGGGGACTTTGGGGAGAAGAAGAAGGGGGGAAAAGAAATTGGCAACAGATGTTAGCTCAGGTGCCAAGCTAATAAATAAAATTATGCTAGATTAATTCTCACAACAAAAGGAAGCCATGAACAGGAAGATTCTTGGCAGATTTACCATCTACTTCAGATGGTACAAAAACAAAGAGATCACAAAATGGTTGTATACAACCAGCAGACACTTCTTTCTTTGGCCTGTTACATATATATGGTATACTATATACATACACATGTACGTAGAAATGTTTACGTATATATTGTCTTAAACTAGCTGATAACATTTAAAATAGGTATGTCAGAAAAATAGGTTTTTGGCTTCTCATGAAAAAAGTTTTAAGCAAACCAGGACTGCTATCACTTCATAGCAGTAACAGTCTGGAACTCAGTAGCAACTGTCCCCTTTGGTCAGAGCCATGTACTCTCCAAGGCACCACAAGACCCACCCAGTATCATTTCCATCAGCTGCCTGGCCCCAAAAGGTTTTGAGTTTGTACTTTCTGAAACAATCAGATAAAGGACCCACAGGTTAAAAACGTGAAGAGCATATATGTGCCAAGATTACAACAGGAAGTCAAAATTAGGTCAGGAAATGTGAGGAAAAATTCCCAGAGATTTAGAATATGAACAGGGCCTTGAGGGACTAAAAACAGAAGAGAGGGAAAGAGTACAAGGTAAGTAAGGTACATAGGTAAGAATGGGTATTTGTGTACCTATCCTATCTGTCCTTATATCTCAACACCAAGCCCAGTTTCCCTCTTATGTTAAGTATATAATAAATGTACTTACCAGTTTATTATGTAGTAATGTCATTAACTTTAAATTACCCAACTAAAGGAGTAAATCAGAGCACTCTGCTAAGTATGTTTCCAGGATATGGTATCAAGAATAAGGTACCACCAGAACATCTGGACAAAGTTACCCTATGAGTTATTTCAAGTAAAAGATGTTTAATGAAATAAAGTAAGTTGCAAAAAGATACAATTGGCAGATTCTTTATGTAAAATAGAAAAGACAATACACTGTTATTTATGGGTAAA